GTGGGTTTGAAAAATTTACTAGAAAAATTATAATGAGAAAAGTAAGAATGATAATATATATATTATAACTCAAGTGTCCAAGCTGACATTATCACAACGTCCAATCAAGTTGGTGAGTGGAAATTTGTATTTGAAATTTTTAACAAATATAATTGGACTCCATCAAATTTTATTTGTAGCTATTGGTATGATTTTTTTCGCTGTATATTTTTATATAATTTAAATTTCACATTGATGAAAATTAATTGTTTTATAAATTATTTAATTAATCAATCTTTCGGTTCGATCCCATTTAACAACCATTTAATAATTATGCATTTTGGGTATAAACCAGAAAAAAAAATTGAAATAGGATGTTTGACACCTATTTTTATGGAAAAATGAATTTTAGAATAGTAAATTGATGAAAAATGTGTAGATGAAAAATAAGTAAAAGTTTTTAATTTACGTGTAATATTATTGTAGTGAAGTATGTATAGTTAAAAATAAGATAGGGAAATATGTATGTTGATAAAAATGAGAATTAAATGGGGTATAAATATTTCTTTACTGGTTTCATACTATAAAAATAAAAATAAATAAATAAATAATAAAATAATATGTTTTTATAATGATCTCACTGTTAACACGTGAAGAATCCATTAATATTTATATGTATTCTCCTTTTTTAATATTACAATCCAGAATCAAATCCTCCGTGCAATGTGCAAGTGGTTTGCACCATCAAGTTCCTTATTACTTTGACGAATAATGTTGGCCTTGTTTGATCCACGTTATTTTCTTTAGAATGGATTTTTGAATAGTATATTGATGGAAAATGTATATTTAAAAATAAAAAAATTTATATTTTCGTGTAATATTATTCTATTGAAGAATTTGTGGTTGAAATCAAATCAAATCAGTGTTTAAAAATATATATTTTTTAAAAATGTGGTTCAAACGTGCCCTTAATTTGTATAAAAGTACTAAAAGTTGACAGGATGTGATTGATTAAAAGTACTGATTATATTTTAAACAATCAATCATAAGTTGACATATGATTATTATGTCAAGAATCATATATTAATTATTATGGCCCTATTTGAGTCACATTTTTTTAAAATATATATATTTTTCAGTAATGATTCGATATTATTTTAGTTACACATTTTTTAATAAAATAATATTACATGCAAATCAAAAAAAAATTTCTTATTTTTTAATCACATATTTTTCATCAATACATTATTTAAAAATATATTTTTATTTCAATAATGTGCTCAAACAAGGACTCTGTTTATAATATGATTGTAACGTGACATGATGATATTTCGGTCCATTTAGAAATGTGTTCACACAATAGATGCCTAGTCATTTTCATTCAACCTTCACCACAAGTAAAATGGATTTGTTTAAAACATGTACAAAATTATTTGTATTCCTATTTCATTATTGGAGAGACGTAGGACGAAAGATTCCAAAAAATTAGCTGTTTTGCACTAAATGCCAAAATTCATTAAAATTTTAAAACGTATGGTTTTCTTTTGTTCCACCCGATTTTTGTCCAATATATATATATAGTGTGTTGATGAAAAATGTGTAATTAAAAATTAAGAAAATATTTTGAATTTATATGTAATATTATTTTATTGAAAAGTATATTGTTGAAATGTGTTAAACGCATTATTCAAGAATGCATTTTCTTTTTCGAAAAAATAGGGCTCGAAGAAGTAAAACTAGAGAAAGATGTCTTTTTTTCTTAAATGGCACATGACAATAATTGATTAGTGAAAAAATGCGATGTCAAAAAATATAACAATTTATTTTTCTACGTTTATATAACGATAGACATGTCACGAATGCTAAGTTTCTAATACATTATATCGTCATTGCTATTGTGCCCTATAAACACGAAGCCGAGTCCCATTCATTTTACCATCATTTTGTCTTTATCGTTAGATAGCTCCACCTCGGCTAGATCATTATCCATCTCCACTCTTATGAACTCATCATCCACAACAAGAATGATGTAGGAAATTATGAACACCCATCTTTGCTATGATAACAGAAACTTGTGTGGGAAATAAATAGCTAGGCATACGGTCAATGATTTTCCATCTTCGTTTCTAAAGTTAAACCTCTCACGAGCATTCCATAACCTATGACGATGCCCTGTTCTTTCATCCCGAAACTGTTGGAAATAATAAAATATATTTGAACTTTTGTATGCGGCCATATATTCTGGCCGATAGCAAAATATGGAGTCAAACAAATAACACTTACTCGACGCTGCTAGAGAAAAATGTATTTCTGGACTGTGTATAGCACGAGCTAATATTCGAGCGCTGTATGTATTCCCGTTTATGCCAGCCAACACAAATGTGAAACACAAATTAAAATTACTACCGGTACTTCATTTCGGCCTATGAAGTTAACACGTTCAAGATGAGGCAGTACAACTCTAATATGTGTTCTGTCAATAGCACAAATGCAATCTTAAAACGATGGATGCTTATTCAGGTTCAGCTAGTGATGCTCCATAACATCGCTATAATTTGGACTCGGTTGTCTCAGGTGTGCCAATGACGTAAGAACTGTACGAAGCACCTTTTTGATGTAATAATTATTGTTTGCAATGAATGATTTAATATCATTTTCACTTGTTAGTATCGCTTCCCATCTGCTAATATGCACAAGAACATTTCATCTTGCTCATAGATATCTACTTTCTGGCTACTGCATAAGCCATATTCGTCATACAGAATATGTGCAAAATATCGCAACATTCGTTGGTACGTTCGGAACTCTTGATAGTACATCTGTCTATTTTATTCATTACCTCCAATAGAAATATATGCCCATTTTTGGAGAAGGAAAATATTCGAATACAACGTCGATGTTTACGATAGTAGTTCTTCACGTTACTGTCTGGGATTTGACAATACCTAACCCATTTCGTTACATCTATAAATGTTATTCCCTAAGTTCAACCAATTTTAGACATAAACACTTTTAATAATTAATTGATGCATTTTTATGGCAAATCTATTATTTTATTAACATTCAATTAAATTAATCCAAAAAGTTGTGATTGTGAGATACAAATTTCATATGATAGAATTTTAAATTATCCATGGTCGTAAGTAATAACGAGATACGGATATCATTATTATGGATAGATCATCACATATGACATTTTTTTACTTGTAAAGTAAATAGCTGATCTTATAAGTTAAAGTGTAGTGACAC